AATATATTTATGTCTTTCCTTTGAGCCAAGAATTTATATGAATAAATATGTATTTATTTGTATACAATTTGAACCTTGCTTCTGTATATAAATATATTAACCTTACTCATTTTTTACTTCCAAGTCTGCTCCATCCTATATAAATGATAGTAATTTCATAGGTATGTTTAGAGTGCACAGAGCATTTTTATCTTCCCTCTCAATCACCAGAATATTCCCCTGAGGTCAGCAGAGCTACCAACTCCCCAGGCCTCTCCCCTCCTTACATTATGGCAAATAACTCCAAACCACTACCTAGAGCAGAACAGAAGGATTAGCGTAAGCCCTCTCAGCCACTCAGCTTCCTCTTTTCCTGTTCTGTAGCCTCAAGGATGACATGCATATCAGCAGGACAAAAATAATCAACAGAAAACAACAAACCTCCATGATAAGAAGACATTATCTATAAAATGAGCATATTTATGTCAAGGACAAGATAACAAACATATTGTATTTAAAATATGACTGGATTTAGGAGTAGAGCAAATATGTTATCCCTGGAGATGGTATTTTAAGAGTGAGAGCACTTGTATACATTTCTCCCGTTAGAAAAAGCATGAAAGAGCATTTAAAACAGCTTTCTAATTTGTTCATTTTCTTTCTCTTTCCCTTTCAAACCCATCTATTATGTCATAATCCAGATATTTATAAAATGACAAATGGTATATACAAACACTCTCTTGATTTCAAAATACTGTCCTGGCCAGGCATGGTAGTGCATGCCAGTAACCCCAGCGACTTGGGAGGCTGAGGCAGAAGGATCACAAGTTCAAGGACAGCCTCAGCAATTTAGCAAGGCCCTAAGTAGACCCTGTCTCAAAATAAAAAAGGAAAAGGGCTGGGGATGGGGCTCAGTGGTTAAGTGACCCTGGGTTCATCTCTTCAAAAAAGAAAAACAAAAAAACAAAACAAAACAAAAAATCAAAACACTGTCTTGATTCAAAAACTTTTTGAGTCATTATTACCTACCAAATCATCAAATTCCTTAGCCTGAAGTGCAGATTTTTAAAAAATATAGCTCATCCTACCTTTCCAAATCTATCTATACCTTTGATCAAGAATTCTGTGTTCTAGTCTTACAAAGTGGAAAAGTGACAAACAGCCTCTGAACTTGCCAGGTATTGCCGCTTCCCAATAACTTCACTTTCCCTGTGATCGCTGACAAAGGAATGTCCTGCAGCCCCACTTGTTGAACTCCTATTTATCCTTCAATGTTCAGTTCAAATGCCCCTCCTTTAGAAGACCTCTTCAATCAGGATCAGTAGTTCACTTCCTTCTGTTTTCCTGAGACTTTGGCTCAGATGAATCTTGACTTATCTGATTTACTATGGAAAGGCCTTTCTTCTTTTATAGACTGTGAAATCTTTGAAGAGCAAGACCACATTGTGTTTATCCTTGTAACCTCAGAAGTTAACATGGAGTCTATTAGACATTCAGTGTTTGTTTTATCCCTGAGTGAATCAGCCTCTCTTGCAGAATGGACACTCTGTAATGCTATAAGAAAGAACTGCACTCATCACTAGTCCCTGAAAGGGTACTGCTTGTTCACAGTCACAAAAGGGATTCTAAGACATCACTAGTTGATCCTCTTTCTGATCCTCCCATTTCAGATCTGCTCAGTTCTCAGAAATTTGTTGCAACCTACCCACCTTTCGGGGAATATTGAATGTTTAGAATTGGATAATAATTATTAAATTGTCCATCAGCTTTCTTCTTGTGGGGAATCCTTAATTTGTTTTATTGTTCTTTTCTCAATTCTCTTTCAATCCTCCTATCAATTGGTCAACATTAGCAATGATAAATGCAAGGATTTGTTTGTTTTTGTTTTTTGATACTGGGATTTTACTGGGAATTTAAACTAAAGGTTTGTCTATCACTGATCTATATATATATCCCCAGCCCTTTTTATTTTAGTTTTGCTGAGGTTAGTCTTACACTTGCAATCATCTTTCCTCAGCCTCCCAAATTGCTGGGATTATAGGTGTGTGCCACCATACCAGGCTAAGTGGACAGTTTTGTTTGGCACATGGTACTAATTTAACTCCACCTCCATAGCCTTAGACACCTGGACACATGAAAGAAATACAGAAGGACAAATAAGGACACATGACTCAGAGACAGGGAAAGTATGTACGGCATTACTAGGAGGGAAGGGCCATAGAGGGATTGACAGAGGTCAGTTCTAAGGAAAATGAAGAGCATTAAAACAAAATAAAATAAAAGAATGCCTATAGCAAACATGGTAGAGTGAAATGGTTTTCACTTTTCCCCCCCAGGCATGGAATCTTATCTTGTAAGTCTATGATGAATTATGTAATCCAACTTCATTTTAAAAAAATGTTTTTAGGTGCTATGGATAAAGCCCAAGGTCTTATGCATTCTAGGCTCTACCACTAAGCCACCCCCCAAATCCCTCAACCTCATTCTTAATGCTGTGGTCTAAATGTTTGTGCCATCTCAACATTCAGATGATGAAGTCCTAACATCTCCCAAGGTGGTGGATAATAGGAGATAAGTCCTCTGAAAGGTGATCAGATCATGAGGGTGGAGCCCTCGTGAATGCAATTAGTGCCCTTACATAAAAAGCTCAAGAGAAACCATCAACTCAATAAATTTTTGTTGTTTATAAGTTATCCCTTCTAAAGTATTTTGTTATAGCAGTCTGAATGAACTAAGACACTTAGTAACAGAACACTGAATTAACTTAGGATAGCAGCATGTCCAACCAAAAGAAACATTGCTAGCTTCCCAGACAGAGTAGAGACTGTGACTAAGTATGGCTATTAAGATGTAAGTGGAAGTGACATGGGGCTTCAGCAAGTCTGTTTAATTACAAAAAGTACATCTTTTTTCCATCTTTTAAAATTTCTGCTGATGTAATGACTGATTTCAAACAGCCATTTTGGATTGTGAGAGAGACTGGGTCCTTGATACTGAGATCCATAGTACCTGCAGAGCCATTGCAATGGAAGTCACAAAGACTGTTATCTCTAGACTTCTAACATAAGAGAAACTTCTACCTTGTCTAAGCCACACAATTGGGGTTTTCTGAACTTACTACTAACTAACATATTACTCTTGGCCTCAAAGAGGTTAGGATCCAGACAAGAACACTTGGCACAATGTAAAGATTTAACAGAAAGACAGTTATTGGATTTATGAAAAATTAAGTTGGAAGAAAATAGTGGGCAAAATTCACCAGGGAAACTAACTTATTAAAAGCAAAAATATAAAATGCTTACATGAACCTGGAGTCATAAGGAGAGGTATAGAAGAAGGTACATAAGGCTATTAATATTGACTACATGTTTTGATTTTTACTCTTTTTGCAATTACTTTTGCAAGTAATACTTCTGAGGTTTAAATAACTAAAATAGAAGACATTTTTAAATAAAAAGAATAATATACTGACTTATCTATGTTGATTTTTAAAGGGGAAATTCTGTGCATTTCTAGGCCCTTCAATACCTGGAGTCTCAAACCCAGGCCACTAATAACTAGATGTGGAATTTTGGGGAAGTCACTTAAACTCTCTAGACCTTTGTAAAATGAGAATGTTAATAAACTCAGGGTTCCTTCCAACATCTAATTCTGTAGATTTAATCATATTTTTATTATTTATTTTTTAGTTTTAGATGCACACAATACCTTTATTTTATTTATTTTTTATTTTTATGTGGTGCTGAGGGTCTGAACCCAGTGCCTCACATGTGTTAGGCAAGTGCTCTACCACTGAGCTACAACCCCAGCCCAATTTAATCATATATTTGCTTCAAAGAATATTTTATTGCCTTTCTCAAATCTGATTTCTACATATCCAAAAGTTGTTAAAATGAGTTAGTTAGATAGTTCTTCTCTATTTCTAAGGTGTGATTTAGAAGAACAAGTCCAGTAACTCCAAATGCCCCTCTTTCCCTGTGTTTTCATAATGACCCTTCCAAACACATAACCTGGTATTTCTCAAGGTGCTGTAAGTTGGGGGTTTGCATGTCTGTTCTGTCGGTTCTCATCCCCTGGAGTGGGGTTAGTGTAGAGATGTATCACCCTGGTGCCATGCAGTGGACTCACCATATAGTGCCAATTAATACAGGTTTGCTGAAGAAATGAGTGAGCTAAAGATTTATGTAAAAAGTCAGATCTTGGGAGGAAAAGTCGATGACTGATAATCTTGTGACTGATGACATACAATTTTATCTCTTTTCCTTTTCATCTACATTAGGATTTTAATTGATTTGTGGCATATTCATTAATCACCAAAATTATATGAATTCTAGCTAATTTTGGCAAGCTTTATTGGGTTTTTAGGTTATTGTTGGATTAACACAGCCATCAGGAAAAAAAAAAAAAAAAACACTACTTTCATGCTAGGATGGACAAAAAGATTTTGTTCTGTTTCTGGATTGATCATAGACTATACATAGGGTACCTCCAGCCTGTTCTGGGAGATCAGGCAAGAGGATATGAGGATCTTAGCATGGTTCACCTGGAGGACTGGAGGAACTTTCTTGTACCTGAAGTCTTTGTCTTGAGGGGCAGGGGTGGCTAGGCCATCGATATGAATGAAACCTAAAGATTACACCATTTTCATGTTATCCAGTATACCATTTGAATAAATTCACCCTGTTTCCTAAAATACCCTCCTAAGGAAAAGCAAATAAGAAAATGACAGAAGGCTCTTGGCCAACTACAAACTCTGCTACTTCCCTGTCCTATTCCTGGGGATTGCCTTTCTATTCTTGAGTGAGTCCAAGAGTAGCTCCTACCCAAAAGATATTTTAACAGAGATGTCCTAAAACCAACATCATTTTGAACCCCTCAGGAAGAACAGGAGGTGGTCATGGAGACTCACACCAGTTTTAGCCATTTATAAATAGAGATATTAGGTGTTAAAAATAAAAATTGGGTCATTAAATAAAAAATAGATTTCAATAAAGGTAAAATATCAGTATCAAAGATCATACCGCAGTACCCTGGGGTTCCACATACTGTCTTCATGAGCACTTGATGTTCCACAATTTTAGAGAGTCCAAAATCAGCTATTAACACAGAAAAAAAAATTAATGAAGCAAATCTTTTCCCAGTTTTTATAAATACATTTTCTTTTTACAAAAATAATTATTTATTTGTTTGCTTTTGTATTTGATGGTGGGGTACACATGTGTGGGGGACAAGTCACCTGAGAGGAAGCTAAGGAAAAAGTCTTTATTTAAGTAGGAGAAAAATATGGACTCCCTAAATACATTTGCAAATAAATTCATATTTAACCCTCATTCTTCTAAAAAATTCCAAGCCTTTACCAAATAAGCTATTTTCTTAAGCAACTATTAATTAATAGTTGTGATATTTTGTCTCTTGTTATAATTCTGAGATTTATGTGACAGTATAAGAGATGATATAGACTTAGTGGTATCATTCAGAATCTTCCATTGTTGAAGATTAAAAAATTAGATTTTCATAAATGTCGTGGAAATAAACAGAAACATCAAGACATTTTCTGACTGAAGAGAAATAATGTCTGACCTATTATATTTGACAGATAATAATTTACTTTCATATGACAAGTGTCTTTTTAATGCAAAAATCCTTTTTACTTAATCCACAAAGTATTACCTAAGTAAGGTATTATCAAAGGTGCCACCATTGTGATCTCTTGCTGGGCTACATCTCTCTCCCAGGAAACATCAGGAAGCTGCTCAAGGCCACTCTTCAAGAGAGGCAGGTGCAGAACCGAGGCCATTTTAGACTTCAAAGATAAACCCACATTTCCAGGGAGGTGCCTGATCCTTATCAGTGAAAGCAGCAGGAAGCCCTTCAGAAAGAAAGGCTCTCCTGCCTAAATTAGTATCTATCCATCCATTTAAAGAAATTTCTTGAAGGATCAAATCTTTGAAAGGGATGTCAAAGGAAATGGAAACTCCCTGCTGTCTGCTGCCTTTCAGGAGTGATTATGAGAACAAGCTTACTGCCAGCAGGACTTTCAGGATTTTTTTCTTTAGGTTCTTGCATTCATAAGGCACATTCTGTTGTCTAGGCTCTTCCCTCATAGAACAGCTTGATTTTCAAAGTTGGTAACGCTGGTGAATGCAGTGAACACGTCAGCTCAGCGCTGTGACAGACAGCACCAGAAATACAATGCCTTTCAGAGGTTTTAGTACAAATTCTGCTAAGGAGAATTCATGTAAAGTTTTTAAAAATTTTTGGAAATGATGATTTGTTTAGGAAGGTCTGTGGAAAATAGCATTTAATACATCATGTCCTAATACACTGATTTAAATTTTTCTTTGGGTAGATCAGAATTTCTCAAAGTTCATCTTTGTATTCCTCCACAATGTTTATTTGGGAAAAAAAAGAGTCAACAAACTTTGGGGAAATCCTTGTAGTACAGTATATAATATGTCAGTCTATTCATTAATATTTTTTAAGGTTCTTGGAAGTGCTGCAGAAATACAAAGCCTGGGCTGGGGATGTGGCTCAAGTGGTAGCGCGCTCGCCTGGCATGCGTGCGGCCCTGGTTTGATCCTCAGCACCACATACAAACAAAGATGTTGTGTCCGCCAATAACTAAAAAATAAATATTAAAATTCTCTCTCTCTCTCTCTCCCTCTCTCACTCTCTCTTAAAAAAAAAAAAAAGAAATACAAAGCCTGCTTAAGTTTAAGTTTGCATTTTCTAACTTATTTGACCAACCTCTGCAAACTACTCAAACCCACGCACTCCAACAAAAAGGTCTTATTCACTTTTATTTACCTTGCCTAGGCACCAGAGTTCTTTGAAGTACATTTTGGGAAATACAGACCTTAATTTATATCTGGTTATATAAACAAGTGTCTCAGAGGCCAGATTCATCAATATGTACCAAGTATTTTGAATCAAAGTTCTTGATTATCTAAAATTAGACTCCAAATAATTTGTAAAATAGGAGTCAATAATCAAAGGAAGCATTAAATCTATCTTTTTTTTTCCCCCCCCCCGCTATAAACTTATCTACAAAACACAAGGTCATCTCCTCAGATATGTTATTGGTAAGGACCATAATTTCTTTGTGTCTCTAACAAAGAAGCACCAACTTCTAGCACTGATTTCTGGATTAACATTCCAGGATAAAGCATGAACTTCTAAAACAATGCATATTCCTCCAAAATTCAAATTAGGGATGGAACAATGTTTTAAAATTTCACAGAACAAATTTCTTCTGCTCTGGGTAAAGAGGTCATGAAACATCAGGAAATATTCTCACCGATTTTGAGTGGTGCATCTGGGGCTGGTGTTGCATAGAGAAGATTTTCTGGTTTGAGATCACGATGTACAATCCCATTTTCATGTAGGTACTGCATAGGGAAAATACAAAGTACATTCACATAATTCTATTTATGTTTTCAACATAATACTTAATCTTTTAAGAACTATCATAATTTTATGTTTGAAATGCAACAACACATTATGATTTCAAAATAAATATCACAAAGTGATATTGTTTTAAACCTATACATTAACAAATAACTTAAGAGAGCTTAGGGTTATAGCTCAGTGGTAGATGCTTGCTTGAGGCCCTGGGTTCAATTTCCAGTGCTGTCAAAATAAATAAATAAATAAATAAATAAATAAATAAATAAATAAATAAATAAATATTTGCTCCTCAGAGAATATCATCACTCTCTTTAGGCATAATACTATATCAATGGGGATTGTTTTATTATTATTGTAATAAAATCAAGTTGCTGTGAATTGAAATTTGTCTAGTTTATATCTGAAAAGCATAGTTGCATGTGTGACCTTAGAAACTCACACCCATAGCAAAGATATCATAATTATTGTTTGTCAGACTTTTAGATGTGAGTAGCTATTATTTAGGACTCTCTTTAATAGGATAAATATTACTCCATGATGATGAATACTCTCATAAACTCTTCTGAGAATTAGGAGATCTATTAATATGGAAATTGAAAGTTATATTTGAGATGAATCATAAAGATTACTTCTAGCAGCTATACTCATTTTATTGCAATTAAAATGTTTGTAAAATTCTGTATAATCACACATGTAGCATATTCTCATTGTAAATGCTAAAGTCCTTGACCTCTGCTCCCCATTTCTAGTCCTTTCTTCAAACAGAACCACTCATCAATTTAAACTATTTTTCATAACATTGGTTTGAACTTTTTTCTATGCATTTATAAATGTAAATATATGCATACATACAAGGAAATATACCTGGTTTTCTCAATTTTCTTACTCAAATGTATCATATTATTTTTATACTGCCTTTTCCCCTACTTAATACATCTTTGAAACATCCACTTAGCACTTCAGCTTTTTTTATTTAACTTTTATACCCACTATGTTGGATGCATCATGATTAATATTGTTATTTCTTTTTGATGGACACTCAAGTTTATTTTGATTTTTTAAAAAATTCCAAGAAATGCAATGATAAACATTTTAGCATTTGCATATTTGGGTAGTTCTGCTGGCATTTTTTTTTAGGACAGGTTTGGTAATTGGGCCAAAGTTACACGGAGTTTTTATTTTAATATACACTGAAAAATCACTCTCCTAAAAGACACCATCAGTTTTCACTCACAAAACAGCTATGTGTGTATACACACACACACACACACACACATATATATATATATATATGAATTCATATATATATGTATATATCAGGTCTGGTTCCTTTCTGCAGAGTCTCTCTCTCTCTATATATATATTATACATATATATATTTAAATTATTTTAAACTTTTAATTTCTCAGTTTAAACCATTACTGCAGTGAACAATGCTGTATGTAACTTATATAAGCAAAGGCATATATATATATATATACTTATATATATAATCATATATATATATAATTACTGGCTCATGCATGAAAAACTGATAATATTATATTATATTATAATATTATAATATAATATTATATAAAAATAGATACAATTATTATAATATAATATTATAATATTTTTATAATATTATAATATAATATATAAAAATAG